GATTTATATGACGTGGTCATTCCTACGCTGACTTGAAAACATCACCCGCGAACGAACGATAAAAAATCTAAACGAGTTAGATTAAGATTATAAACTGTCTCGAAAAGTACTGATGTACCCAACACGCTGGATAAATAGGTAACTCTGATTATCAATCATAGTAATGCTGGCAGTCGGGATCGACCAATAGCTGATGAGTTTACAAGTGTGATTTTTCCAGTATATTGAAGCTTACGACAGAAAAAAAACTATTAGAGAGACCTGTTCCACCCTCTCTGTGTTGGAGGTGGACGAGATCTGAAAAATTTAAAGGTTATTGATGCAAACTGGACTAGTAATATAATGATTTTGTGTATTTCACTCCATAGGTCTTCATCCATTGGTTGCCAACGTCTGAGAATCCTCTGTAAACATGTTGTAAGTGTTACTCTTGGTTTAACAATTACAGTATCATCATTAGTTGAAGGTACTGAAGGGATAATTGATGTTATAACTCAAACATTTTAACCAGGGCTGCTAGTAGTAAGAAATAAAAATAATTGGATAATGTCTATTCTCTAATTAGCCCCCCCCCTCCCCCTCCCAAATGATCCCTGCCTCTCTATGATGAGCCTCTCCCTTCTGATGAGACCCTTCTCTCTGGAAAGCCTTTCTCTGGTCAAATAAAGGCTCCCTATCTAATAAACCCCTCTCTCTCTTTAAAGCTCCCATTTTTGAACAGGTCTAGAAAGTCAAGTTTTTAATGAGGCCCCTCTTTAAAACCCTAAGCAAATCCCACCCTCTCTAAGAAGCCCCCCTCTCTCTGTTCAGCCCTTCTCTCTAGTAAGCCCCTGGTCCACTGCTACAAGTCTCCACAAGCTCCCTCATAGTTTACCAGAGTGTTAATGGGTATTGTTCAGAGCCATCTGATACTCTGCTGATAGCCAGCTGATTATTGAACAACACTCACCAGGCCATCAACCAATGTCTTGAAGCCACTGAAAATGGTAGACATCTCAACGGAGTAATTGACTGACTTTCATATATTGGTCGAGTGTGGGTTGACCATCAGCTAATTTTTCCTAAAAAATATACCCTAGACTGTTTTCTGAGGGACTTACTCCCCCTTCCCAATCCTATTACCTTGTATACTGACATGGATAGGATAATGAGATATAGATTGTGATCATTGTCTGTGTTTGAACTATTTATAGACATTGAAATGACCAACCTGATTCCAAATAATTTTTTCCTTTTAGAGGATGAAATCTACAAGTGCAGAAATGGTAATAACTGATTAAGTAACTGATATTTCTCTATTTATCTTTTATTTATTGAATCCTGTTTTCAAGAAACAAACCTTGAGGCCCTTTGTAGTGTCCTCTCTTAAAACTTTATGATGCCTATTATTAAATTATAAAGACTCTGGCATCAGTGCAACAATAAACTTCTACACCATACCTTAATTTAACTGCCTCCTTTAAATATTATTTTTTTGATTTTGGTCTTTTTGTAGAGGAGAAGTAATTCTCTACAATCTACTACACATTTCTTATGATCAGAGCCTTAAGAATTTGCCATTAAATAAAACAAAATCCCTTACTTGATACAATAACTTTTCTTTCTCCTCATCACTTCTCTGCTTAAAAAAAAATTATTTCCTTTTGGTCACTCCCTGGAGTGAAAAGTTTGATGTTTCATTCTTACCAAAAAAAAAATAATCTGCAATATCCCTATTATTATGTAATATATTTTCTTGAGGCATATCAATTACTAGGGTATATGAACTAAAAGGTAAGTTTCCTTTTTTGTATTGAACTTTTCATGGAATGTTAGCATACTCTTTCTCAGTTAGACATTGATATTCTCCAAGCCAAATGTAATGCATGATTTCCTGTCTGCTGAAATCTTCCAGGAAGCAGAGGTATTACTTGAAGTAAAAAATAAAGTCGGTGTCATCACTCTAAATCGTCCAAAGGCACTGAATGCTTTGAATCTGAATATGATCAGGGACATCTACCCAGTGTTAAAGGTAAAAGTTCACTTAACCCTTTAACTCCCAATATCTGATTGTTAATTCTCCCCTTTAGTTGCTACAAGATGACGACTTCTACCTGATAAGACTAAAACTAGGATAATTGAAAATGAAATTTATAATTTTGTTTTCCCAGAGGAGTCTGTAAAATGCATATACGCAGACGCATCTCTAACTCCATAATTTGGGTGTACATTTAACGCCTTCTCAGTGAAGTAGAGGAGGCTGGTGATGAGTATTTACTGAGTTGCAAGGTATCTAAGTAAATATCCACCGCTAGCCTTGGACACTGAAGTGAATAATTGTCTTAGTTTGCACTAAAACAATGAGATGATATAGCCAAAAAAAGATGCTTAAACTCATATATTCTTGCAACGATTACAATATTTTGAGCGAAAATCTTTAGCGAGTTGCATGGAGGTAAATAGCAAAGGATATTTGGAGTTTGAGTTGCCAATCAGAGCACATCTCAACACAATTCACTGTTTTAGTATATGTAAAGAAAGTTTATGAAATATGTTCTTTCAAATATAAAAAGGTATTTTTTAAAGAGAGGCGAAATAAATGATTTTTTTCAGGAATGGGAGGCTGACCCAGCAGTAAGTTTAGTCTTGATTAAAGGAGCAGGAGATCGTGCCTTCTGTGCAGGTGGTGATGTCAGGGGTGAGTTTGAATTGAGTGTGCCAACAACATGGGATCATATCTACTTCTCTGGTTATGATTATTCTAGAAACATTTCAACCTTTCACTGGTGTGAATGTTGGTGGCAAGAACACCACTAAAAGCACAAACATAGTTGGTATTTTTTGTAAATAACTTGTTTTGTAAAATTCATTAAACTTAAAGCTATCAAAATCATGCTCCAACATGATAATTCATATTTAGAAATCTTACATTACAAATAAAAACCTTACTATTAAATAAATCTGAAAGCACCTGCAACTGCTTCCCATGTCAATTCAAATTATGGAACTAAAAGAAGAGCCATTCAATTTATTTCCTTGGTGAGAAAATCTAACATTTACCTTTGCAATCAATATGTGAATAGCTTGTGATGTCCTTCATTCTGCCTCTAGAAGTCAAAGTCCATCATTTGACTTTTGAATGTCTAGCTATTGACTTGTTATAAATGTTTATACTTGACCCTTTACACCATAACATCAGTACACATATTCTTCATACTGTTTTTTATTCATTTCTAAGATGCTAGAAAGGAGAATTAGTTAACCAATCAAGAGCTTCTTTAGTTGGTGATCATTTCCTTTCTTCTTGTGACCTTTATGTGTGATTCAGGGGTCATACTGTAAGGAGAATTTAGATGCTAGTCACCTGTAGGTTAGAGTTAATTAATGAGTATGGTAACCGTAAATGAAATTAGATATTAACTTAACACTTTTTAAATTGACAGCTGTAGCTGAAGCTGGGAAAAAGGGGGATGATCTTACCAAGCTGTTCTTTAAAGAGGAATACATGTTAAATTATGCAATTGGTGAGTTAATTTGTATTTCTCCCCCAAAAAATGATTTGCCAGTTTGAAATTTTTTTCAGAAAGTTTTCTCTTTCAAGTAATATTGTAGGTGTACCTTTGAGGAACTAAAAGTTTCATTCACTTTAATTTGCTATTTTAGAATTCCAAAAAGAATTATTTTGAAGTTGAAGGATATAATGTGTATGAAAGATTAAGTGAATGATATGCAAGACTGAACATTTAAACTGCAGTGGAGAAACTGTTACCTTGTGTCAGTTTTACATGTATGATACAAGATGCAGGAAACAGATTTGATGCACACTTAGGGTCTCTATGCATTGTATTTACTTTTTATTAGTGTTAGGGGTTACTGCATTTAATTCTATGTTAAATCAACTTTCAGGAACACTAAAAACTCCTTATGTGGCATTCATCAATGGAATAACAATGGGAGGGGTGAGTATATATTAAATACTTGTCAACCAAAATGCATGGCTTCAGTTTTGTTGTCCAGTTCTTCTTCAGTGGATGATTTGATGTTTGTGTTAATGTTTGTTGTTAGGGTGTTGGTTTATCTGTCCATGGCCACTTCCGAGTTGCTACAGAACGCACAGTGTTTGCTATGCCAGAAACTGCAATAGGTATGGCCAAAATAGACATTTTGCTTCAAAGTTATTGTATGGATTATAGAGCTCTCAAGTTGATTTACTGCCAAAGGGTGAGATTTTTGACTGCATAGCTGTCACCTGTGATGCTGCAGGCATCACTCTCCTGCAGGTGGTAGGGGGAATGGGATGCTACCTTGTAAAATTGTGAAAAATGAGCATGTGTTTAGAGGTGCATGTTACTGTTGGAATAAGAACTTTCACTGATAAAAAATATTCAAAGAAGTATTTTTTTTCTGTCAAATAATTCTAACTGACAGAGGGGTGGTTGATTATAAGTTCTATTTTTGTATTCAACAAATCATTATTTTTTAAGGTCTTTTTCCTGATGTTGGAGGTGGTTACATGTTACCTAGAATGAAAGGAAAGTTAGGACTTTACCTTGCGTTAACAGGTGAGAAGAACTGAATATTTGTTGGAGTATTTCTTTTAATATTCAATATTTAATCTCTCATTCAGTTTTTCTTTCTCATTTTCATTTTCATTGTATCATTATGTGGTAGTTATACAATCCCTTCCATAACCCTACCCACCCTGCCCTGCCAATTATAGCTTTGTATGTGTGCTCCCAGAGACTTCTAACTTAACATGTCACTCTTAAGGTCATAGATTAAAAGGTTATGACATAAAACATGCTGGAGTAGCTACGCACTTTGTTACAAGTGAGAAGGTAAGAACTGAAAGTTCACCATTGCAAGCTACCTCCTCTCACATTTAATTAATGCAGACTATGCATGAGTTATGGGGGTTAAGGCAAATTTCTTAAGGATAGAAAAGTAAACGGCTTATGGTAGATTATTACCACAGGCTTTCTTGCCTAACATCCTCTATTCTATGGCAGCCTGTTCAGTTGGTCCTTAATACGGTTTTAAAATTACTGATGTGCATTTTAGGTAAAGCAATGTGATTATGGAAATTGGGTTTTTATCATAATAATCATTTTGTAATTTGATATTTGAATGAGATTCAATCTAATGTTATTTTTATTTACAGTTAACAGACCTTGAGTCAGCATTACTCAACCTTCCTGATCCACAGATGAATACAGTGCAAAATGTTTTGGATAATTATGATGAGATGGTAAAAAAATTGTTTTTGTTGTTTTAGTTGTTTTTAAATATTTGTCTCTGAGAGTTACAGTTGTGAAGTTTGTCAAACCCAAAGACAAAATATTAAAGGGCAAAATTAACTTTTTAACAGTGCTCTGATGAAGAACAGAAGGAGTTTGTGCTAGAGAAACACATACATCAAATTAACAGGTGAGTTAAATATTTGGGGATTGCAGTCACTGATTAACCCTTCAACTCCCAAGATCTCATTTAGTAATTCTCCTTACTGTCTGCCAAATGATTCTCATTATGTTAGTTTGGAGAATTTGGTATTGGATCAATTTAGTAGTCCCATAATTGATACTTTTCTTTATTCTCATCACTTGTCTGCATGATATTGTATAGATGTAGTAAGGAGAAATTCTGTCTTGGTCACTCGTTGGAGTTAAAGGATTGAATAAATTATGCTCTGTCTTTGAATGTTGGTGCAGTTAGGGAATTATTGTACACAATTTTATTGTGGTCGCAATTCAGTGGAAAATTAACTTTGTAAGTTGAGCATTCTAAAAAATTGTATTTTTTTTTGGAAATTATATTTTCATACCTGGAACCTCTTTCCAATATGGGTGCACACATAAAACCAGCAGTTTATAATCATGTTTTTTGTTGTTCTTCTTCTTATGAACTCTCTATTATTAAATGTACTCAGCTTTATTGACCATAAGAGCTGCCTCAAAAACATCCTGGTTGCTGTAGCCTCTAGGCTTTAACAGTGATTAAACCTGTTAATTTTTCCTTTAAATTATGAATAATTTACTTGTTTCATTGTAATACCATTTTCAGCTGTGAGCATTTAAGATTTGTTCTTGTTTTTGTTGTTGTTGTAAAATACCCCAGGCCATGTCTTATTTATAAACACATTTAAGTGTGTCATGTCTTAATGCTGTGGAACATTTTAAGAGAGATTAGCTTTGTGTGTGTGGTATATGTGTGTGTGTACATTCACTTACATCCATTTCATTATATATGCTCAGAGGCTCTTTGAGAACCATTTAGAACATTACAAAGCATTTTCCTAATAAAAAATCTGTTGAACAGCTGCTTCGACAAACCAACTATAGAGGAAATTTTACAGGCATTAAGGGACGATGGATCAGATTGGGCCATGAAACAAGTTGAGGTATAACTGCTGTCTTTAACCTTAAACCCTTTAACCCCTGAAAGTGACTAGCATCTAATTTCTCCTTACAATATCACCCCTGAGTCACACTCTAAGGTCATACTTGAATAAAGGAAATGATCACCAACTAAAGAAGCTCTTGATTTTTAAACAAATTCTCCTTGTCAGCACCTTAAAAAATGTATAGAAAACAGTATGGGGAATATAGATACTGATGTTAGGGTGTCAAGGGTTAATTGAGTTTATATTGATGATCAGAAATACTGACCAACATTGGGTAACTAATTATTCAGTCATGTTGTCTTGACAAGTTTCATGTTCATTTGTGGCTAATATCTGGCCCATAAAACCATCTGCTATGAAATAATTTCATCATATTTCATATGTCATCATATTTATCATACTGGCCCCAGTTGTTCGAAGGTTGGATAACATTATCCACAGGATAAAACTCTATATGGTGGTTAACACTATACATTTTGCCATCACTTATCTGCCGGAAAGCAATTTATGCATTGTATAGGGTTATCTGACCTTTACACAACTGGGCCCTGTGAATAGATTTAAGTTTTTTTTTTTTTTTTTAATTCATAGATTTGATTGAATTTTTTAAAATTCATGTTCTGTTTCAAATTATTTGTGGAACTGAGTATAATTCTTAAGCTATAGGGAGGAATATTTATGGGACATAAATTTATTCAACAAGCTATGCATTTCTGTCTATGAATATCAATTCTAATCAAAATTTACATTATTTTTGTCTTACAGACTCTACATAAAATGGTAAGTGTAGATTAAAGACATGGTTTGATCAAACACAGCTAGTAAATTTTTGCATGTAAGGAATGTGGCTTTGAAGTAATTTCTTGTTGATGTGTCTGTTTCATCTCTGTCTGGAAGGTTTGATCACAAATCAATTTTTAGCCTCTCTAAGCCAAGCTCAGAGCAAAACTAACAGAATAGGATACCATATTTTCATGTTTAAGCACCTACACATATTTGCACCCCTCTTCCAAATAAGCACACAACCTTTTGGGTCATAATGTCAAAAAAGCAGTCCTCTTGAATAAGAGCCCCCCTCCTCCCTCCCCTGAGCTGAGGGCCACAAGGAAGACCTGTTTCTATTTTCATTTTATATGCAACTTTTTAATAATAACAAGAGAATAGTTTTTTTTCTATTCCAGTTATTTCTATTTCCATGTCCTTGCAGAGTTCCTTTATGAGCATTGTCTGTTCTTTCACATAGTATTTTTGTCTCATTGGTACACTTAATAAGCGCTCACCTAATTTAAGCCTGAATTGTTATATATGCACCTTTCACTTATTCAAGAAAATATAGTATGTTGAAATATGGAGGGAGCACTCTGCATTTTGCAATGAACACCTAGTGAATGCAAATAATTATCGTAATTCCATGATTGTTTCTTAGTCCCCAACCTCCTTGAAGATAACCCTTAGACAGTTACAAGAAGGACAAAATTTAAGTCTTAGTGACTGTTTGAAAATGGAATACAGGTTAACCCAGAGGTGTATGGTAAGTGGAATATAATAATAAATTTGATAAAATATGCTATCATCCTTTAATCAGCATCATAATTGGGTGAACTCATACACTATACTAAGATGCCATAAATCTGAAAATTTGGTGGAGTTTTGGTGGACAAGTGCTAGAACATCAAAGGAAATTCAGTATTGGTTGAGTTTATAACTCTTGTTTGACCCTTTTTTAATATCAGTTGTGATTTTTTTTCCCTTTGTTAAGAAATAATGTCCATTAATGGGTGATGTGCTTCTAAATTACAAAAATAGCAAATTGGTATAACAGAGACAGTCTTGCATCATGATTGTGATCAAGCTAGCCTATTTAGTACAAGTAATTTAACATCAGCGGACTTTTCCTGCTGGTTAAGTTCCCTATGGCTAGTAAAAGTACAGTGATGTCATGATTAGTTTTTAGGTATTTCAGTTATTACTTAGTAATTTAGATCAGTTGCTTTATTGCTCAGCTTGCTAGTACATACACATAAACTGCATTTGAATTTGAAGAAGCTATTTTTTCTCCTCCCATCCCTCCCAGCAACTTGTTTTGCTGGTCTTAGTAACTGTCCAGGTTTTCTTCCATATGGCCTTTTGATTTTTTTGTTTAATATTTTGTTCGAGTATTATTATATTATTAGCTTATATATATATATATATATATATACACACACACACACACATATATATATATAAAATATAAATTTGGGGGTAGAGTCTACCTTGGCAAAAAAGTGCTTAATGCTGTGGTAGCAGAGCTGAGTATATATAAGTGAAAGAATCAAAGAGGACGCATCGATTCTGTTACTCTGAATTTTGCGCTTAAGCGCTCGTCAGACAGAACTTTTCTATATATAGAAGAATCCAATTCCTTTCTTTGTTCATTATATTTTACAATTTCCCTGATTAGGTACAGTGTTCATGCATGCATGTATTCCACCCTTATAGCAGATTGTGAACTTGTTCAGTTTGCAATTTTTACACATCATGAAATTGCCTTCGCATGTCTAGTACATTAACCAATGATTTCTTACAACTCTCCACTCTGCAAATTATCCACTGCAGAAATGTAGCTGTATCACTCATCAGCCATACTTTTTCAGAATTAATTTAAACATTTTCATTTGCAGGAGGACAATGATTTTTATGAAGGAATAAGAGCTGGTAAGAAGTGTTTTACATTTTGTTGATCTTAGTAACTGAAGTGAATTTACTTTTCCACATTCTAGTGAACCATACCAAATGACCTACCAAGTTCATCATACTGCCCATTTTGTGAAAAAAAAGTTAAATATAAGTTATGTTCTAAGAATTTGATTGCACTTCCATTGAATCTTGCCTTTTTCTTTTAGTTTTAGTGGACAAAGACAATAACCCCAAGTGGAGGCCTGGAAGTTTGGCTGATGTGTCAAACAACAAGGTGAACAGCTACTTTAAAACACTGGGAGACAGAGAACTTGTTCTTTGATGTTACCATGGTAACTACAGTTCTATAAGGGAAAAGACTCTAGGACAGAATGATGACTACATGAACTACTCTGGTGGATGAAAGAATGAGAACAGCCTCTGCAATAAATTCCATACTGTGTCATATTATGGATTGCTGTGTCCTCTTGAATTTGTCTGACAAACTGAACCTGTTAGTGAATGATTTAGGCATAAAACACATGCAGATGGTTAATCTAGGTCAAAGAACTTGTGCAAAATTCATTTTGATCAACTTGTTGAAAAGAAGTTGGTTGATGGTTGTGGAAGGATTATTTGCAAATTTTAATTGGTGCTTGGGCTTGAGGAGAGGGTGATGTGAATGAGAAGACTGCATGTGACAATTATTTTTACCACCAAAAACATTAAATAAAACTGCTTATGATTCTGTATTTTATGGTTTGATATATCAGGTCTGCACTATGAGGAAAATTTGCTTACATAGCCTAAAACTGGAATTAAAACAGTTACATCAAAGATCATTCCGGCTAGAAGTGCATGAATTAACAAAAGATTTCAATTTATTTTCTCTTTACCTTAATCCTTTAGCTAGAAGGATCTGAAAATGAATTCTCCTAACTGGTGACCATAGTTTTTCTTACTGTTTGTTTGTGAGAATTTTCTGTTGTATCAAGATAACAGGGTTTAACTATAAACTTTAGGCTGAGGAAAAGGAGAAGATTGAGCTCTGGAACTGCACACATATATTTATTACACATATATTTATTTGTAAATGCACTTTGGATTTATCAGTAACCTACAAAGACCTCCATTTCTGCATTCTATCACATAGTGCAGTTCACTCATGGTTTGCTGTTTGGTAAAACTGACTACATGTAAATAGGCAAAACAGACCCTCAAGACTGTCACATCATGTTAACCCTTAACTCCCATGAGTGACCAAGACAGAATTTCTCCTTACAATACCAATACAATATCAACCAGATAAGTGATGAGAATAAAGAAAAATATCAATTTGGGGATAATTAGTTGATCCAATACTAAATACTCTGAATTAACATTATAGGAATTGTATGGTTGACAGTAAGGAGAATTACAAATTTGACCTGGGAGTTGAAGGGTTAACAACACTAAACCAGTTACCCTTAACATATCACATACTTGACAACAAAATTCAACTTTGACGTTTACATGCAAGAGAAATAACAAGAGTCCTACTCAAACAACTTAATATGCTATAATTTAGCTGCTTCGTATCTCTCAGCAACATTAGCCCAGTTGATAACACTGTAAATGGCTTTTACATAGTCAGGGCGGACATTTTTGTACTGCAGATAATATGCGTGCTCCCACACATCAATTCCAAGAAGTGGCACCAATCCTAACAAACAAAGAAATAAGGACTTTTAAATGAATGAGAGAAGGTTTTATCTCACTACCAGGTTCATCCTTCTCCCAGTTTCATCCAGCATATCAAAAACTAGAAACACACTTCTAAACTGTCTTGAAATTTTACTTTCCTTACTTAGTTGGTGTCTTTCACAATTATCTTTTTTGTCACATTGAACAATAATGCTGGGGTCTAACCATTATAATTTTACTAGCTATTACCTGTGGTTGCCTGAAGGGGGTCTTGGTTAGCACATGTGGTGATCACCAGGCCCTTGTCAGCCTTGCTATAACCCTGAAAAAAATGGAAAGTGAGATAACCTGCTCCCTTTGACACAAATGTGTGAGACCCTTGCAGTAAAACTGATTTTTCCTTCACCCTGACCTACGACATTGTATTTGTAGCTGCAAACCTTTTAAAATTCCCGACATATTGATTGCACTGATGGCATGTGAGACTCGGATCTGAAAAAGATGTAAGATACCCATATATGCCTCTTACAATAATCTTTGTCCTCTCTACTTGTTCATTTAAGGGTTTTGCTGTGGTTGTTTCAAATGACCCGTGCTGCACTAATGAATTCACTAATTCAACAATTTTAAATTCAATCTACAGTTTTAAAATCAGTCCTGCATTCTAAATTCAGATGGGAGTTCGTCAACTTACCAGCCAACCCCATCCTGAGCCCTGCACGGCCACAGTTGCTGCACTGAACCTCTCTTTAAAGTTTTCAAACGAACCAAAGTCTTCATTGATTGCTTCCATTAAGGCTCCTAAATAACAAGATTTTAAATTTCATTTAGCTATTTTCTCAGAAGAGATCAGAGAGGCAAGTAAGTCTGCTTAAACAATGAAACAAACTGAAAAAGTGGATCTGGTCTTCTTGGCTGTAAGAAAAATGAACCCTCTACACCCTAACATCAGTATGCATATTCTCCATACTAACCTTTATACATTTTCTAAGGTGCTGATAAGGAGAATTTGTTTAATAATCAAGAGCTTCTTTAGTTAGTGATTGTTTCCTTAATACTCATGGCCTTAATGTCTGATTTGGGGTCGATATTGTAAGGAGAAAATAGATGCTGGTTGTTCTCGGGCAGCAAATGGTTAAAACTTCTCTAACATTACCCAAATCCTATCCCAAAACCCACAATCACAATAGAGCAGCTGGGAGAGCACAGATGAAACAGAGGCACAAAGTACCTGTTGGTTCACCTCCACCATTAGGTGAGAGATTTGTCCAAAATATTGAGTGATTAATATGTCCTCCTCCATTGAATTTCAAGGCTGGCTGGAGTGATATCATAGCACTGGTATCACCTGCCAAACAAAAACCTCATCAAGATGGATTCTATACTAAACTGCTTAAAAGTTGTTGACTTATTCAATATATGAAGGATTTTCCACCCAAAGCTGAGATCACAGACTGTGGTCCTGAAGAAGGAGGGTCATATCGTTAGTTCAAAATACAGCCTTCTTTTGTTTTGATGTACCATGACCTGACCTACCCCACCCTTCCAAGTACCTTACTACCCCACTGGATTGTCATATTAACCTCCTTAAGTATGGTGACCAATTTGAAAAGCAGCATTGATTTCACATTTTTCTCATTTTTTTTATCGAACAGCATTTGAAAGTTGTTGGAATAATGTCACTGGAGGTGTTTTTCAACAGAGATTTAATTTGGGGCGGGGTATAGATACCACCCTCTCCAGTGGCTGTATCCATTCCACCATGCATACTTGCCATTCAAATATTGTGAGGTTCTTGCCACCACATTAAATCTTTTTTATCTAATGAGAAATCTGAGACAAAAAAATAGGAGGAGGTATTTACAGTAAAAGGTGGTCACTCTTCAGGTTTAAAGAGTTAATATCACAAAAATGAAAACAAAATCTCCTCCAAGTTGTTTTGACTTCAAGAAATATCTGGTCGACATAAAACAAACAAAGAAAACCTGCAGTAATGTAAGGTAAGAGATCTTTTCCACCAGTGAGACTATGAAAATATTTGGCAAGATTTCCATACAGTCCCATGCCTCGTTTATTACGCATGCAGTTTTTTGAGTAAAGGAATCAAAGGCAAAAGCAATCGATCGCCTTGGGGACTAAAGCTTTGTTTTTGGAAGAGTATGAGGTTATACGGAAATATCGTCCAAATATTGTCTTCTCTAACCTTTGGCTTGAGCCTCAGCAAACTTTTCTTCAGCTACATTCAAGTTGTTCACATAAGTTGCATGATGCTTTTGGTGATGAAGTTGCATAATTTCTGCGCTGATTGTAGGCTGTAAAGCATCGTAATCGTACGGCAAATCGGGAAGGGTGTGTTTGGCTCTAGATGACCCTCCAATCACGACAGGAAATAACTTCTTTAAGGAACAAAAGCCCCTGGAACTTCGTGAAATCATCTTCAGAACATGAACGCATTTGATGGAGGTGCTCTGAGACGTGAGTAGGAAGGAAAACTAGGTTCGAGGGTTACCTGCTGAAAAAGTGTTGGGGTCCGGTGGGGAGGGTACAAGTGCATCTTTCTCGCTCTCTGAACCCTATCGGGCATGTCAGCAGCAAAACAATGGAAATATTGATACATTATAAATTATTTTGAACTTATGCTTACGAAAAAAGTGAAACGCTGAAGAAGGTTATTGTTTCAGAACCATAAAGGAATTGTGTTGTCACATACTCGACCCCACCCTAGTAAATTAATCCCTTTTTAATCCAGTTTCCAGTTTTCTCTCTGATTGCGAAATTCCAACATGGAGGGTTCTGGAGGGCTATCCCCAGCACAAGTGGAGGAGGTACAAATATTTGTCCATTAGTTTGGTTAGCCTTAGATCATAGAGATTGATAAGCATCTTGATTTCTTTTAGTACGAGAAAAATGGCTTTCTGGTCATTGAAAACTTTTTCTCACTCGAAGAAGTGGAGGAAATGAGAAATGCCATGTACGATATCGTGGAAAAAATGAATTTGGAAGATCATCCGAAAAGCATCTTTACCACTGGAGAGGACCAGACGAAGGTAAGAACTTTAAGAAAAGCCAATTTTTTGCCTCGATTTTCTTGGCTTTGCTGTAAGCCCTGTAAATCGAGGATCGGCGATGATGACATCCGTTCCTCCCAAGATGATTTCTGGCAGCTATACGGATGCTGGTAGTGGCAATCCAGAAATAATACCACCACAAGTTGCGTGGATAGCCTGGCTTGTCTTAACTTTTGGTCATTGTTGTGCATGTGTTACCTCTGTCAGATTTTTATTTAGTACGATCAAGCAGTGGGTCACGCTTTAGTCCCTTACTCTGTGGCCACCCGTGTGCTCCAAATTTTCTTACGGGAGTTCTAAATGTTTAGAAATGAACTCATCGATAACACGTATATCATTACTTTTGCGTTGCCCATTACTTACAAGGTATATCCCAGTTTATTTTGGAGAAATTTGGTGGTAAAGAACACGATATGACATTTTGTTTGTCCACTGATATAGATTTGCTGTATCCTTACAACCCCTGCACTTCCAAGAGTGACCAACAAGTAATTTCTCCCTACTATACCAATACATTATCAAGCAGTTAAGCAATGAGAAGAAAGAAAAAGTAACATCATGTAAGAAACATCATATGATATGATTCCAAATTCTCAGAGTGTAAACCAAGGGAAATTCATAGCAGACATGAGAGAGAATTGATATCTGGATCTTTAACATGACATGTACCTTCTTCATACAATTTCAATCCATTATTTAAAAAACTGGTAACAAGAATGGATGTAAGACCAAATTCTCTCAACTAATTTATAAGGAAATGTTTAGCAGCCAGAAGAGAGAATTGCTGATTTCATCTTAGGAGATTGAGTGAATAGTTTTCCAACAATTTTGACTCCATTATCTGAAGCTTTAGGTGTGGTTAGCTGCATTGGCAAACCAGCATTTGTGAAATTCCATCAGTGAATCGGTATCTACCAATTCACAGCCTTTTAAACTTATTTTCCAAGGCTTTAATAGGCTCTACTGACAATTGCAACTGAAATTATGAATTAAAAATTTTGTACCCATTGTCATTTTTTTATTAGTTTAGAGATGACTACTTTATGACAAGTGGAGACAAAATCAGATTTTTCTTTGAAGAAGGAGCTTTCAATGACAAAGGTGAGATTCAATATCCTGTAATGACAAAACGTAACTGATTTCTCTCATAACTTAAGCAAATTTGCACCACAGTATTGTTACTTGCACAACTGTATTTCATGTGATAAATTTGTTTCTTATTTAGGTGAACTCATCAAGGACAAGCAAAAAGCCATAAACAAAGTTGGTCATGGTAAGATTTTTATGGAGGACTTCTCTTGGAAGTTAGCAATCTAGGTATAAATCCCAAACAGAAAAAGGTTTATGAAACAAGTTTATAGCATGAACTACACACTGGTGAGCCTAGTAAATGGTCTAGCTTGTGAACTAGTTATCTGTAGCTCAGTTGATGTGGCATAAATATTAAAACTAATAATGAAAATTAATAGATAAGATATAAGTGGTGGTATTTCCACAAGATGGCTCTGTGTTCAATGATCCCAGTTAGAATCGGAAGTTGAATTGTTTACCTCTACAGTGGGAGGGGAAGTAAAGAACACAGAGAAAAATCTGTTGGAGAAAGGATTTTTTCATGGGGAAAGAATAAGAACCAGCACCATAGCTGCACCATCTTTGCTTCTCATGTGATTGTGAAAGCATTAATGGGTTAAACTGATTTTTCGAGGGTTAGCCTTTCCTCAAAGTGAAAGGCTAACGAAATGTAAGCTTTAGAAACTCTTTACAGTGGCTAATTAACATTACCAACACAGTTGATAAAATCAAATTATCCTTAGAACAGTTTGTCTCCTTATTCATTATTTTGTAATTTTAGAGATCTGTTCATCATTCTTGAAATATCATTTACTTGTTATTTAATAAATATGTATTTGATACTTTGTGTTTATTTATCTTCTCAGCCCTTCATGTGTGGAATCCTGTCTTTAAAAAAATGACATTCAACAAGCAAATTGAGGTACATGTAATTTAAAGATTGAAATGTTAAGTATAATGCATGTATATTGAATTTCTTCCTCTAGTAACAACTTTGCAGTCAATATTGTTATCAACCAAACCTTTTTTCCTTATTACAGGCTGTTGCCAAATCAGCAGGATTCAAACACCCTGTTGTCCCACAAAGCATGTACATTTTTAAAGTGAGTTGGTTCTTTAGACTAAATTCAACTTTAATAATGTAGGCAGTGAGAAAAAAAAATTCTTAGTGTGGTTTACCCATATAGTGGATCATCTCCTGATAAATAGCGTTTATATGTGTGTAACATTTCAGTGCTGTTGGAGATGATGTAATCATATGATAAGTGCATAAGTACACATGCATTTTTGATTGGTTGTTACCTATGATCTCAATCTGTAAACGGAGGACAGACACATGGATGACATGTTGCCATGGGTCTGTACAGTAATGGATCATAGAATACTCAAAAATGGGGTTAAAACATAATTCAGTGTACACTTGGCTAGCCTCATGTGCCCCATTTTTGTTCTTACCACATTTTGATGTCATCTGTGATCTATTAAAGAGCAGATACATGGCATGTATTTGTTAAATAGTAAATAATATGAATCCAGGTCAGAAATTTTGATCTTGTAGTTTAGTGATCCTGTTAAGTATTATCCCTTAACGCCCTAACATCAGTATGCATATTCTCCATACTGCTCTTTGTACATTTCCAAAGAGGCTGTCAAAGAGAATTTGTTTCACAATCAAGAGCTGCTTTAGTTGGTGATCATCTCCTCTATTCTCATGACATTCATGTTTGACTCAGGGGTGATATTGTAAGGAGAAATTAGATGCTAGTCACTCTCATGCACTCAAGGGTTAAGAGAAGGTTCCAGAAGGTTAGCATTCCATAGGTGTCTTTCTCATGGAATGTTCATTTTCTTTTTTTATTATTTTTTTAACTCATTAGCAACCAGGAATTGGTGGTGAAGGTAAGAGATTAAATATAATAGTAAATAACTTTTTAAAATTAACTTTTTTTCCTTTTTAGGATAAAATCTAAGAAATTAGAGTGGAAAAGAAATTGCATTTTGTAGAGAAGATCCCCAAAGGAGCTCCAAAGGAGCTCCAAAGGGTAGGGTAGGGAATTTGAACCAGAACTGTCAAGTCTTTCCTGTGGAATAGAACTGTTTTATCTTTTAAATTGGAGGTGCATGGTCAAAGGTAAAAAGTTTCTTTTCTGCAAGTGGTCCACGAGAAAATCACAGTTGCTAATCTTGTCTTTTACAGATCAATTGAAAATCAAATTAGGCACTCAGGTGGGAAATTTGAACACAGTTTTGGTCCTTGTGGTGGGCAAGAGTTTGAACAAACTGTATATACAGATGCCAGTGGGGCTGCTGGGGAGGGGGTGCTGAATGTTGAAGCTTCAAATTGATCAAAATAAAAGAACAAGAACCAACAAAAACTTTATGCTTACCATTGCGCCATTCCAGCTCTGTATGAAAGCCAAGTTATATGTTCACAGAATAAGTGGTTTTATTTTCCTTTGCACTTGTAGTTAACCCACATCGAGACTCCACCTTCCTGTATACAGAGCCACCCAGTGCTATGGGAATCTGGATTCCACTTGAAGATTGCACCATGGAGAATGGCTGTCTGCAGTTTGTTCCTCAGTCACAAAATGGTCAGATATATTGTAAACCTCAATTTTGTCTCCTTAAAGGACACATATTATGAAACTTGTATCAAATAGACCTCTTAATGAGCAGACACCCTCTACCTATCAGACCAACCCAAGTCATAAATTAACCTTCCTTACTTACTATAAATTAATATATACCTGCAATTAGAACACAACTCTGTTAATCCTTTACACTCTAACATCAGTATGCATATTCTCTATACTATTCTCCATACATTTCTCAAGGTGCAGACAAGGAGAATTTGTTTAACAATCAAGAGTTTCTTTAGTCAGTGATCATTTCTTTCATTCCTGTGATCCTAACCCTTTAACTCTCAGAAGTGATTAACATGTAATTTCTCCCTGTAATATTCACACATTATTCAGCGATCTGGTTGTGAGAATCCTCAAACTTATCAAGTTGAAGTTGTTGTTTTGATCTAATATCAAATTCTCATAACCAGTTTACATGGAAATGTGAGGCAGCTAGAGGGAAGAATTAACATCAAAATCTAATGTTTGATTTAGTGGTTGTATTGTAAGGAAAAATTAGATGCTAGTCAATCTTAGAGGTTAAAGGGGTTAACCCTTTACTCCCCAATATTAGGATGCATTTTCTAGAGCTATTCTATGTACTGTTCTGCGCAGTCTTGCGAGGCTCTTCTTAATTTGCAAGTTTTGCTATAGTTGTAAATGATTTTCATTTGTCAATGAAGTCAAAATTTGTAGCACTAGGGTCTGGATAGAATTTATTATTCTTACTAGTAATTTTTTTTATCCTT